TATAGAGTGTAACCTATCAGTGGCCCTTTGTTTTGTTTTCCATATTTGTTGAAAGCTTCTAGTTAGAACTAGAGTAGATTTTGTCTCTATAGCCTGAAGCAGCTGCATTGATACGTTCTTGGTGATTTATTTCTCCCAAGTATTCTGTGGATAGGTTCAACTTCTGAAATTGTAAGTTTACCTACCTCTGCTTTAAAGTAAGGAAGAAAAATGCTTTCTTTTATATAGTTATTTAGTGTATTGTTTCCATCATCTGATCATAGAGCACCCTCACTTTTGGCTTAAATTTCCCTTTGATTTCTCAGAACTTGTAAAAGAGGTCTCTTGTTCCCTTTTTCTTGTCAACTTCTCTTTCTCTGCAATGATCATTATAGTAGTTCTTTCTACTTGAAGACACTGAATAGTTGAATTCACTGAACCGTTGAATTCAGGACTCTGATCCTATCTCTGTCACCTTTTCCTTTTGCTTCTCATTTGTCCTTAAGTGTTTGAAGAATTTCATCTATGATCCACTGAAGCTTCTTTTTCTTTTTGGCTTCAGATATGGTATTTTGGCATTCTTTCCTCTGGCTTATCTTAACATTTAAATCACTATAGTAGACTAGCTAACTCTCCGAAATAAGGAATCCAAGGACCTACACTCTCTAGACCCTAGATACTCACTTTCCTTGCCAGGCTACTGCATAAACCTGAAAATGTCAATTCACCTAAGCTATAGTATGCCAGACAAACATGTCTTACCAGGAAAGAAGAAAACTACTTAAATAAAAGCTTGTATAATAGAGTTGGAGCTATTTCAAAGGAGTGTTCTATTTAGTCCATAAGAGCAGTGTTATCTGTCTCTTACAGCTTTTTTTACATCTACTTCAGTGAACTTCAGCAGTGTTTTGCATTCCTCAGCTATCCAGTGTATTTTCTAATTATCACTAGCATTCATTTCATATGCCAAGCACATGGTCCATCAGGATTCTTTTAGTCTTCCATCTCCTTCTTTTCCTCTCTTCCTTGTCCATTGGTGCCCATACCAAATTTAAAAGGAATGTTTTCTCCAGCAAAGTCTTTTGATTACTGCTCTCAACTGAGAATGAGAATCTGACCAGATACGGCAGTGGCCTCCATGTTTTATTCACATGACAGCCCCATTTTAAAAAGAGATAGAGAGAAGTCTCTCTCCCTCCCCCCTCCCAATATGAGTGCCACCCCCCCTTGCTGTATCTTTTCGTTCTCTGTCTCTTCAGGCAAGTGTAGAGAACAAGAGTAAATGGCAAGAATTTGGGAGCTTAAGTAGTGATAATGCATATTCTGTGAGAGAATGAAGTCAAGAATCCTTTCAGATAGAAAAGGTGGGAATGAATAACACCAAAGCCAGGCTCAGATCAAGATAGATATTCTCAAGAAGTTCAAAGGTGAAGAACAGATAGACAAAGAAATTCATTGAAGCCAATAAAATGCCAGGAAAAGGGTGGCTTTAGAACAAGGGTGGGCAACCTCAGAGTTCTAATGACCCTCCATTGAATTTCAGAAGGCAGCAACTCTCCGGCCACCCTCCGCCATAATCTCCACCCCTCCCAAAATGTTAAATTAAAAAGGAACTCAAAACCCTAAGAGGTATGGTCACATTTCTGTCACACTGAGTGGAAATTAATATAATTCAAGACTTTTGAGAAAGGAAATGAGTTGGATGGCATGGGGACTGTTTTTGACCATTTCCCCCTTTCCCCCAGAAAACCCCAAAACACTTGGGGTTCGTGGGTCCTGGCTCAAAGTGGCCTATGGGGGCTGCATGTGGTCCTTTGGTTATACTTACCTGACTCTGCTTTATAGAAAGGGGAATATTTCACTGACGGAGAAGGAAATTTGATAATAGCTTTTACACAAACAGTGTATAATGTTAAAGATAGACTTAATTGGCTACTAAGGCATTTGCTACCCCAACTCACTTTTTAATGGGCTAGGATCTAACATGGTCTCTTGCTTTCAGATCTCTGTGCTCCAATCCAGATAGGCTTGAAGTTAATGTGACTGTCAATTAATAGTCCTACCTGCCTCTTTCTTTTTAAACACTAAAATTGTGTTATATAATGGAGGGTTGTGTGCTTGGTAATGCATTGGTCTTTTGAGTATTTTTCAATTTGACTACTGCTTTTGATATGAGGTCACGAAGAGTCGGAGACGACTGAACGAATGAACAACAACAACAACTGCTTTTAGACCTTTTCTCTCTACACCCCCCCCCCTTCCCGCCCAGAATTTCCTAGTATTTAATCTTACTGTGAATTCATTTTCCTAATTGGAGTTCTGTCTGGTTCAATTGGACATGTGTATTTCAAGAAATGCCATATATACTCGTATATAAGCCACCCTGAGTCCCCTTTGGGTGAGAAGGGTGGGATATAAATGCAGTAAATAAATAAATAAATCAAGAAATTTTAGGCCAAAAATCAGTTCAAGTTTTTTAGTTTACTTATCCATTAATCAGTGTTAGTAGTACTGTATCTTAATTCTTATCATAAGAAGAACCATTCCCTTCTCTGAGTAGAGTGATGAACGGCAAGAGCTTAGTCCATTCCAGGAGAACCGAAAAGAAGCACCAATCYCCTCTACTTTCTCCGCCATGGTTCCACTTCTACCTTTTTTGAGTCCCTGGACTGGGAAGTGAAGGGTAGTGCTTCTTTTATTGTACTTCCAGGATGGACTAAGCTCTTAGCTTTCATCACTCTAATCAGAAAAGGGAATGGGTCCTTTTTAGAGAAGAGTGAATACTGTGCCTTAACTTGGATCAAAAAAAGAATCATCCCCTTCTCTGGCTTCCTGTGGCGGCATTGACACTTTCCTCTCTTTGCAGAATGACCCTTGATTTATCCACAAGTCATATCAAAAGCCATAATTTTTACCCCAAAACCTATCTTGACTTATACACTAGGTTGAGACATAGACGAGTATATAATAATAGAAGAATTAAACTGTACAACCTTAAAAAGGAGCAATGCTTCCACCTGCCATCCCAAAAGTCTTTAGGTTCCAATTGAAGCCAGAATAAACTATGCATCCCGCCAGCCAGCATTTTAATATACAAATTGTAATGCATATTGGGCTTACGTAGAGCTTTATTGCAACCAGTTACAGTGACAGGTAATTACTGCTTTCACTTAATAAGTTTTATAATTTTAATGCTTTTATTCTATTGCCAATGTTGTTTTGATAAGTGTTGTTTTACACATGTAAAGCATTGAATTTTGCCATTAGTTATGTTGGGAACCGCTTTGAGTCACCCTAGGGGTGAGTAAGTGCAAATCAATCAATCAATTAATTAATTAATTAGCATGGCCCTATTTTGTTGTTTGTTTTTTACATTTTTCATTCGTAAATTGGTGAGGAATACCATCCATCCCTCTTTTTGCAGTGTAACTATAACTTTTTAGTTCCTTGCATCATTATGAGAGTGTGACCACACTAAATGAAGGAGAAATTACATTATGTGCCTCAAACCGTGTCCTATGTTTGGAACTTTGGCCAGGATCCAGTTGGGTATTTAATTGATTGAAGGCAAATTCTGAAACTACCCTGTCTAGAGATCTAGAAAAATTTCCAAAGCACAATGTCAGGTGACACAGAAGGCTGGGAGAGAGTGAATAGCAGAGTGGCTTGTTAAGGCTGCACTCTTCCACAATCTTCTTACCAAGCTTTTGCTGTCAATATTAGTACCAAATGTATCCTGGCCTCTATCTAATTATTTTTTAAAAGTCACTTTCCAAGCTCTGATCAGAACAGTAAATTTGAATTGAACACATCTGCTCACAACTTAACAAATTCCCAAGTAGGATGTGGATACTGTACATGTAAACTGATAGAATATTAGTAAAAGGTATTATTTTTCTATAAAAAGTATCTGCATTTCACTTTCTTCTTCCTTTCTGTGCCACAAATGGGCATGCTTGACTGAGACTGAAACAGTAATATTTTAACTAAAATGTATGAATGTACAGGGCAGCACACACTAACCTTACTATGGCATGTTTTTACAGATGAGGATCAAAATGATAATACTGAGATAGTTACTAATGAGAAGATTCCTGAATGCACTGTTACTGGTGATGGTGAAGATCAACATACTAATCTAGGAAATGACCTTAACTCTGATGGTAATGCAACTAATAGCTATTACTAACATTCCCATTTCATTTTTAAGTCTTGTGATGATTTTCCTAATGTTTTGTCTATTTTGGGCCTTTATAACTTGGATTCATTCTTTTATTATTATTATTAAATCCTTTTCTGCTTGCTTAACATTGTTCCAATTACTGATAGCATGTTCCCTATATTTCTAATATGTGATGTTAAAGCACTCTAACAAGATGACCACACGATGTGCTGGATGTCTATTTCAGATATACGGTATTTACTTTCCATAATGATGGATTTAAATGGAGTTTACATTTGGAAACTTATAAAAAGCACTTTTTTTTTTGGAAGGCCAAGGCTGCAGCCCTATGCTTGATTACCTGGGAGAAAGTCCAAATTAATTTAGTCAATCTTACTTCCAAGTAAATATACATGAAATCAAGTTATAGTTCAAACTTATGAAAAGTTTAATTTAACTTCTTTGTTAGTCAAAAATAGCTTCTCACATAAATAGATGCAGTGTGTGAACAAAATCAGGTCACAACTTTTTTCACTCTAACTATGGAATCATTTTTTTTTCAATCAGTTGGCTCCATGCCTAACATAGTAGTAGAAACATTATCATCATCATCATCATGAAGATAAGGATAAAAATAAAAAGAACTAGTGGTATTCTATGTGAAGGAGAGAAGTGGTCTTTTCAGACTGGTCTTCAAAAAGTACTACTGGTATAAACTCATTTATAACCTAAACACTGTGAGTTAAACCCTCTCAGAACTATGTGCTTCAGCTTCTGACATCTATAGCAGAGGATTTGTTTAGACCTTTTTCTGCCTTTATGTTAATCTCTCCTGGCTGCTGTAGAATAGAATTCATTCACTTCAACCTTCCTTATTGTGATCCTGGTCCAGACTAGTACTGTGCGCTGAAGTAAAACTGGTTGCACTTCTAGAAAACTCTTTGTAACAAAGTGGGAAAATTACAATGATTTAACAGAGTTGTAAAGAAAAGAAATACAAAAAAGAATACAATTGAGTGGCATCTTCAAGACTAATTTTTATTTTATTTTATTTTATTTTATTTTATTTGCCACAGCAGTCAGTGACAAGAATTTTCTTTGGGAACTACAGTAGCTTAAAAATATTTTCTCAGCTTAAGTACAGATCCTTGTACAGCCAGTTCTATAAGGATACATACAGCCTTCTCTCTCATTTTTGGCTTGCTTGCAGTATCTGTAGTACAACTATAGAATCCAGCATCGGTGTGTATACTTAAGAAAGTATATTTTTGCTGTCTTAAAAATGAAGGGATCTTGGCCTAACATTGATATTCTTATAAAATTCAGTGTGCCATTTGTTTTCAAACTGTAGAATGTCGAGATTTTGTCCCATTTGGAAATTATGGGACAAGTGAAATAGCAAACTAGACAACTTTTGGGCCAAGTAGTAGTATATGAGCATCTTTATTATAAGTCCTTCTAGAATAGTAGTCGCCGGCCACTCAGATCATTGGAGGCCCTTTGCCACTGGAAAAAATACCCCACAATGTCCCCAGAGGTATAATGAGCAATATTCCCTCCTTTTTGACTCTCTGAATGTTTTGGCCCCAAGAAAGACTTTTTGTTCAATGGGAATTGACCCAGAAATCAATTTTGGAGTCATTTTATGTTGGGGGGGAAAGCTTCTGCTAGACCTAAAATGTTATCCCTTTGTAAATTATTATTATTATTGAGGAAAAACATCAGGAAAAACTCATCCATTATCAGGACCTCAAAATCGAACTGCAAAGGCTCTGGCAATAAACCAGTACAGGTGGTCCCAGTGGTCATTGGCACACTGGGTGCCGTGCCGAAAGATCTCAGTTGGCATTTGGAAATGATAAACATTGACAAAATCGCAATCTGTCAACTGCCAAAGGCCACCTTACTTGGATGTGCACACATCATTAGAAAATACATCACACAGTCCTAGATACTTGGGAAGTGTTTGGGTTGTGATTTTGTGATATGAAATCCAGCATATAGATCTCGTTTGCTGTGACATACTGTGGTTTTGTGTCAGTATATTATTATTATTATTATTATTATTATTATTATTAATAATAATAATAATAATAATAATAATAATAATAATAGGACCTTGAGGACATGTTTTCACACTTCTGTTCTAACCTGATCTTGACCTTTTCTTTTTGAAAACTAATCTAAATTCAGTCTTTTAAAATGCATGCAAAATTGTTTCATTGTTCACTATCATTTGGTCTGAGCCAGGTTCCTGTATTTTCAGAACATAATGATGGAAATAATTCATTGAAAGGAAAAAGCCTTTGAGTAATTAACACATGCAGCTCTACAAAAATACAGAGTGGTAATGCTGCAAGTCTATAAGATTACTGAATTTATTACAAACCAGATCTTAAGTATTTGATTTTCCTGATTATTTCTAAGAGGAAGCCTGGTAGTGTCTTGGGAGGTTTTTCTCCTGGATTCTTCAGATATTCAGGAGAAAAGTGATCACGACCCAAATGCTTTCATGTCTTTCTATATTATTTGGTTAGGTTTTTTTTCCTATCAAGGATCTGTTTATGCAACCATGCACAGCCTCCCAATAATCCTTGAAATTTTGCATACCAATATATTGATATTACTATTCCTCCGCTGTAAATTGGATAAGGGCCAGCATGGTGTAATGGCTTGAGCCTTGGAGACCAAGGTTTTAATCCCCACTTGGTTGTGAAACTCAGTAAAAGACTTTGGGCATATCACACTTTCTCAGTCTTAAAGGAAGGCAAAGACAAATTCCCTCTGAATAAACAGTGTCAAGAAAATCAAGTGGTAGGTTTGCCTTAGGATCACCATCAATCAGAAATGATTCAAAGCACACAACAAATTGGAGAGGTGAAGAGATCACCTTGTCTAAGAGTTTGGATTCCAGAGAGCATACAAACC